AAAAAATTAGGAAAGAAAGCGCAATATTAATATAATTATAAAAAAAAAAAGAGAGTTATTTCGATTACGATGCTTGACCGAAATAGTTTCATAGAAAATTAAAAAAATATATTAGGAAAGAAAGCGTTATACTAATATAATAAAAAAAAGGAGAGTTATTTCGGTCAAGATGCTTGACCGAAATAGTTTTATAGGAAATTTAAAAAATTAGGAAAGAAAGTGCTATACTAATGCAATTAAAAAAGAGAGAGAGAGACAGAAACAATTAATTCGGTTATAATTTTTGACCTTAAAACATAATTAAATTAAAACAAAAATTACATAATTAATTCAATCAAAATTTATGATCAAAATGCTTACTATTTTATTATTCATATAATTCAGGTAAATATTTGACCAAATTAATGATGGCGCCAGTTGGAGCTCTTTTATTTCGATTAATATTTTCGACTGAAATGATTTTAGTCCAAATTATTATGTTAAATATCTTTTAATCGGACTAAAGCTTATTTCAGTCAAAATGCTTGATTGAATTGAGTCTTTTTTCGGTCAAAATATTTTCTCTGAAATAAAGCTTTTTCTAGTAGTGATTATCAAATAATAATATAATTTTGTTGGCTCAATACACTCCAAAAGGGGAGTGAATTAGAGTATCAAAAATTTCTTCTTTTTTGCAACCACAAAGCAAAAAATCAAAGAGAGTAGGGAATAAAAGCTTGCACAATAATTTTATAGAGTTTCGGTTCAACTACTTGAAACCTAATTCTCTACCTTGGCTTCACTCATCAAAAATTTCCTCCACACTCTCCATTAAGAAAAATAAAAATGGTTTAAAGAAGCCACTCAATCCTTTTACAAAAAGATGGGTTTCTCTTAAATCTCACCCCTTTACAAGACAAACTTAGGAATTCTCACTACGAATCACTCTTGAAGGAATAATCACACCCCCGAAATAACTCTCAAACAAAACAAGTAGAGAATTACAAGTAAAGATCACTCAAAGATCAAAATCTCAAGTTGAAGCACAAGTTGGTAGATAAAGAATATACAATGTAAATGCCTAAAACTTGTTTCAGATCTTCTACTTACCATATTTATACCCCGTAGTCGAAAATAGTCATTTTTAGCCATTGGAGTTTATTAAATGCTCTTCATATCAATTTAAGTTTGAGAAAAG